AATAATAAAAACTGAAAAGCAGAGAAGAGCAGAATGGCGTCACAAATGAAGCAAGAAGGGCAAAGCAGTGTGTGGCTGGTGACACCACCCTCCCTGGGATCTTGTTTGAAAATAACGCCAGAACAAAAATCAAAGCCTTCCTTCAGAAGCCCTTTTCTTCATTTGCCCCTGCTCAGCTGACTCCCAGCTTTGCTCTGCTTCATCCTGCAGGCACGGCGCATCCACCCCAGAGGTGCAGTGGTCACCGCTGCAGGTCTGCCACCTGTGAAGCTCCATTCCCTGGCCCCATCTGCAGCCAAAACTCAAAGCCCATCCACGTGTGTCCTGTGCCCTGCACTGGGTCTTTAGGGGTGATGAACTTCACCACAACCGACAGGTGCCCTGGGCCCACGGTGAAGAGGACAGGGTCCCAGGGCCACAGGGAAGCGTAGCAAGAGCAGCCAGAGCAAGGGGCTTGGGCTTGGGGGACAAGGCAGCCCTGGCTAGGAGCTGGTAGGACTGGGATACCACACAAGAAAAGCGGCCATGGTGCAGCCCTGGTCCGCAAAGCACCTGTCAGACCCTGGGCTGGGGCAGCGAGCAACCCCTTGGGCACCTGAAATGAGACAGGTCACCTCTCAGCCCCCCAGCTCTCCCGAAAAGGTGAGAGGGCTGCTGCCACTGTCTTGTGAGTTACATGTTCTCCCCTTCCCTAGATCCAGAGATGCTTTCCCCACCTGTGGCCAGGTGTGGGGCACTTGTCAGAAGGGGGTACCCTACCCTCTTTGGCCTGCATCCTCAGTGCTCTTCCCAGGCACCCACCCTTCAGGGGCTCTCTGCTGTCCTGCCCCACCCTGCCAGCTCTGCAGGGGCGGTATGATCTGTCCCCACCCTGCCTGTGGGCACCCTGCACAGTCCTGTGGCTCTGGGGACTGGGCCATTCCTGTCTGCACAGCACAGTCACTGGTTCCCCTCCCAGGAGCGTGGGGTGCATGCCCCGAGGTGCAGACCTCCTTCCAGGCCTGAGAAAGGGGAAGGATGCACCTTAGCAGGTGTGACCTGCACCTGTGACCAGGCGTGGGCGTCACCTCCAAACTTTCTGGCCGAGGCGAGTCCCAGCACCCGACCCACCAGAGGGCGCTCTGGCAAGGGGATGGGGCGTGGAAACTAGGTCCAGCTGCAGCGACCCGTCAGCATGCCCTTACACTGCCCCCTCCTCCCAGGACCTGAGCATCCTGCTTTTTGTCCTCTGCCTTGGAGTAATGGTCAGACTGGGCCAGTCACCCCTTTCTGCCCCAGCCAAGGACAACACTGCGTGTCCACAAGCCAGGCCCAGAGAGGTCTGGCAATGAAGCTTGAAGCCGAGAACCAGTTCTGAAGAGGGGACCAGCCAGGGACTGCTTATGCTGGTTAACGAAGGGGTTCTGCCTGGGTCCTGGGTGCCAAGAGCTCCCTCTGCCATGCCCAGGACTGCACGCTGGGAGTGACCCAGGACCGGGGCTCCGTAACCCCCCCCCCGTCAGGGTCTCCCTGCTATCACTTGAACGCTAATGGCCAATCCAAGATGGACCAGGATCACAAGCCTTACCTGGCCAGGGATCACACTGCACAGGAAAGCCTGTGACGTGCTCGGAACTGGGAAGCAAACAGCCCTGAGAGCCCACCCCTGCGGCGGGCACATCAGCCAACTTTCACAAGAGCCCAGAAGGGTGCGGCCCCGCCCAGGCTCACTCTAGTCCAACACTGTTTATTCCTCGCTTTAGGAAGTGGGGCCCCTCCAGAGCCAGGCCCCTTGCCTCCCTGGGTCCTCTCCTCCTGCTCCCCTCTCCCCAGGCTGACCTCACTGCGCAGAGAGCGGGGCTGGACCCTGTGGGGGAGGGGGAGGTGTGGCCCCCTGTGAGGACCCCTGGGCCTCAGAGGCGGAGGCAGCGCTGGGCTCCCGCTGCGGTGCGGGGAGCAGGGCGGGGTGGCTTTTGGTTCGGTGAGCAGCGACACTGTCCGGCTTCTCGAAGCGCTTGCCGCAGAACTCGCAGGGGAAGCGCAGGGCTGCCGCTGTCTCCGCGTGCTTGCGCCGGTGCCAGTTCAGGGAGGCCTTCTGGCGGCAGGTGAACCCACAAATCTCACACCTGGGTTGGGGCGGAGGGGAGGGGCCTCGTTGTGCTGACCTCTCGCCCTCCCGCCCGCCCCTCCAGCGCCCTCCTTCCCAGGCGGCTCACTGCAGCGGCTTCTCCCCGGTGTGGATGCGTCTGTGAATGACCAGGTTGCTGCTGGTGCGGAAGGTGCGGGCACAGAACTCACAGATGTAGTCCCTGGTGTCTGCGGGCATACGTGCCATGCGACCAGGGAGCCCGACTGGGCCTCCTTCACCTGTGACACCAGCTGGGACCACAGTACTGTCCCCACCCGGCCCTCCCTGCAGCGGGTCCCCGTGGGCACACAGCAGACCGCAGCCTGGAATCCGAGCCCAAGGACGCCTGCCTGTCCCTGCCCCTCGGCCCGCGCAGTCTCTGGACTCCACAGTCCCCCGCCCGCTGTCGCTGTCCCCAGCGTCCTCCTGTCTGCTTCCCACTCGCTCCGTGGGCTGCTGTGCATTATCGCGGCACCACGGAGCCACGGCGCTGCACCAGGACAGCTGGCCCGCCCCTCCTGCTGCCCCCTGAAGATGCAGCCACCGTGCCATGCCACCACCCCACTGATCACACATCGGGCTCCAGGCACACTGTCCACTCCAGGCCTGCTGTCCCCCAACCTTCACAGCCTGTCCCCAGGCCTCCTGGCGGCCCTCCCACGGTGCACCCGAGCACAGCAGCACCCAGTTCCGGCCAGCAGGGCCTCCTACTCTGTCCCGCTGCAGTCACCGGCCCACAGTTCCAGGCCACAGTACTTAGCTTCTCCAGGCCCCACCCCAGCTGTCTTTGTGGCCGTCCTCACAGCCCACCGGTGTGCCCACTCCCCGTCTGCCTGCCCTCCCCTCAGCTGTGTCCGAGTTGGCCTACTGGGAGGCCCGAGTGGGCACGGTCCTCCCAGCCTCTCCTAGCACACGGCCACAGGTTCCCTGTGTGCCCCCCAGTGCACCCACTGTCAGGGTTCCAGAATTGCCCCTCTGCTGGTCCCCAACACCCTGGCCCACACGGTCACTCATTTTCAGTCTCTAAGAAGACCAGGAGAGAACGTCTGCTGGTCAGCCTGCCCGTCCCACATACACATCCAGGGCCACCTGACCACAGCCGGAAACGGCCCTGGCGTTGGCAGGGCTTTTCCCTTCCCGGTGGTGCCCCAAGCCCACAGCCTTCCTCGAGCTGTGAGGTTTCTATGCCTGTCTGCACATCCTCCCAGGCACACCGTGACTTGGTCTCACCCTGGCCGCCCTGCCCTGTGTGCTGTCTCCTCACTCTCCCTTCTGGGGCCTGAGGCCCCCACCCTGGGGTGCTTTCTGCCCATGGCTTCCCAAACGGGGTCCCCTCAGTCCTCTCCACCCCGTGCTCAGGACGCATGAATACTCCTGCCTGACATCTTCGGGACATAAGTTCAGGCCTGGCTGTCCCTCGTCCTCAGGCAGCCGTCACCTTCTGCCCCACCCACAGGGCCCACTGCGGGCTATCCCACCCGTGTGCACTCCTGCCCCAGCCTCGTCATGGCCCAGGAGGACCCAACTCTCCATAGCCAGGCTGCGGGGGCCTCCTCTTACTCGAGTGGGGGCCACTCAGCCCTGCCGTGCCCCACCCGGAGCTCTGTGCCCCTGCTCCCTCGTCTCCCCACAGCCTCCTCCATCCCTAGTCCCCAGCTGGGGCAGCCCCTGCTCACCACTGTGCAGCTTCACGTGCTCCTTCAGGTGCTTCTTGAAGTTGAAGGACTTCCCGCAGGCCGGTTCCGGGCAGCAGAAGGACTTCTGGAGGATGTGCTGGTACTTCTTGTGGTGCTTCTCGGAGGAGAGCAGGTGTCTCCGTCCCGCTCCTGCCCCTGCCCCTGGCAGCCCTCACCACACCATGCTCGCTTCACGCCCACCCTGCCCTGGCTGCCCAGCGCTGCCGCACGCAGCTTCCTGCCTCAGGGTCCCCCACACGTGCCGCCTGGGTGGCACCGGGCTCACCCGTCTGTGGGTTCACGGTACACGAACTCCAGCTGGGCCAGGCAGGTGCTATACCACCAAGCACACCCACCCCAGGCCCAGGTCCCTTTTCCTCAGTTTCTCTTTCTGCCTTCTCCCACTGCAGCAGCGGGCCAAGCTTCCCCTCACATTCAAATACTGCCGATTGGAGAAGATTCTGCCGCAGCCAGGGAAGTCACAGGGCATCAGCTCTCTCTTGGCAGCTCTCCTAGGGAGAAAGATGGCAGCGGCGGGCCTCCTGCCTGTTTCCTTCACCTCCCTCTCCAGAGCCCTCCGGGCCCCAGACCCCCAAGTCCTACCGGATTCTCTTGGGCCCGATCTGGGCAGTGTCCTCATCCCCGGCCAGGGCCTGGCTCCTGGGGCTGTGGGTTCAGAGAGGAAGCAGAGTTTAGAGGGAGGGCCAGGCCAGGACCCCAGCCCCTCCACCTGTGTCCGTCTGGTTACCTGGCCAGAGGCTCGGCCTGTGGGTCCCCCGTGAGCTCCAGCTGGACCTCAGCTTCTGAGGTCAAAGGCCCGGGACCCAGCAGGGATGCTGATGGGCATGGATCAGCAGCAGGGATGGGGACAGCTCCCGAGACCACTGGTGTCTCCCCCTCCTCAGGGGTGCGGGTGGCAGGGGGCGTGGGCAGCCTGGGCACATCCAGCTCACTCCTGAAAGGAGACCCCAGAAGAGCAGGCGCTATCTCTCTGGGTCCTCAGCCAGTCCAGGCCCAACCGAGCCCTAAATCTCAAGGACCCCAGGTCTGGCCCAGCTCCACTCGGCCCCTCTCCCTGTCCACATGGCAACCTGCCCTCCCTGGGGTCTGCACGTCTGGAGGCCCCCCATGCTGTGCTGAGCACCCCCGACCCGACTTGCTCATCTGGGGACGAGCTATAAGTCCACGGGCTCGCATCGCTCAGCATCTCCTCCTCGTCCTCATCCTCTTCTTCTCCTGGGGCTGGGAAGGGCTCCGGTGGGGGCCCCACCCCCCTGCAGGCCCAAGAAAGGCAGCTGAGGTTTCCTTCCTGCACCCTGACCTCGAAGAGCTGGCCCGGCCTGCCTGCCTCCCAGCCTTACCTGGGCAGCCCCGCATCCACAGTGCCCTCCTCATGCTTGCGCTGCAGGCCTGGGGGTACAGGTGGGGTCAGAAGGAGCCGGAGCTCGAGGCTTGAGGACAGGCAGGGCAGAGGCTACTGTGGTGGGAGGGTGTCAGTTCAGGAACACAGGGACAGTCCGGACACACAGGGACACTGAGGGGTCTCCTGTCCAGCTCCACCCGTGGACACTAATTTCTCCCACAGGCACCCTGGTCCGGTGTGCTCTTCCACGGAAATGGTATGCAGGTACACAAACAAGCACGACTTTAGTTTCCACTAATGAGTGCATGCAGTGCATCTTACCCTTTTTTCTTACGCTCTTTTTTCTTTTGGACAAAGTCTTGCTCTGTATTCCAGGCTGGCCTTGAACCCTTATCTTCCTGTCCCTACTCCCTGTGCTGGGATTAGCTCTGCAGCACTACACCTGACTCATTTTTTTTTTCTATACCTAAGATGCACATGAGTATTCGATTCCTTCCTTGCTAACATAAAAGGCTCCTTAAGAAACAAGGTCCTGAGCTACCCAAGACTAAGATCTTCCCCCTTCTTCCACAACTCCTACCTGCAGGCTCCTGCCCACTCCTCCGGGCCTGCTTGGTTGCCCCTGCAGGTGCGGGGTTCAGGGGGGGCTCCCAGGAGAAAGTGTGGCCCGCTGCGCACTCCCACACCAGCCCACCACGGCCGGCAGGTCCCCGGAGCTCAGGCGCCAGGTTGCACTCGCGGCTATGAGCGTGGCAGAGGAGCACCAGGCAGTGCAGACCCTTGGGGGGCAGCGGCTCCGGGCCTGGGGATGGGGACGCAGACAGGTGGGGAGGGGTCCCCTCCTCTTACCTACAGATCAGGAGGCAGCCCTGTCCCCGTGCTCTGCCACCCTCACACCCAGGGGAGCAGCCCACCACTCCCGTTCCCACACATCAAGGTCCCCCGCGGCTGCCGGGAGGCCCTGGCCGTGACCGAACCCTGACCCTGACCCCGGCCCATCCACCACAGACCTGCGCAGAAGGTGCAGCCCGAGGTCAAGAACCTGCGGGGAGACAGGCGGGTCGCGG